AATATATTTTTGATATATTGTGTAATTTTAAAAATAATTTATAATAGTATAAAAATAATATATGATATATAATGAAATTACATACTATCATACTAGAGAAGTATTATAGCATGGTAAATTAGATATATGATATATTAACATGTTTAATAGAAACAAATAAATATTGTTAAATATATCTTTTTATAAATATACCTTTTCAAAATTTGATGTATTGAATGTAATTGATATATTTTGTAAATTTTTATCTTCTACATAAACCATATTTGGCAAATCATCCGAAAATACAAGTTGACCTACAAAAAATATCTGTTCAGGCAATAAAATGCCATTTGGTTTAAGTAAACATCTGTAAAAATATCATATATTTTCTTTTACAATTAAATTATGATCTTTTTTAAATTAAATTAAAATATAATCAAATATTTAATTACATATTTTATTTAATTAGTATAGTTTTTGAATTTACCTGAAAAATTCATGATTGTGTTCTTCACTATAATCTTTTAATTCTCCTTTAATGTCAAAATCATGAATAAATATTGTATCTAAAGAATGTTTAATATGATTATATTTCGATATAATACATAGTTTATTCTTGAGACCATTTTGCTCTGCTATTTGTTTAATAAATTGTTGAAACATTATATTTTCATTTTTATAATATAAAACATCACTGTATTTATTTTCTTTTAATAATATTAATCCATAAATAGGAAATGGAGAAGTATCTAAAATACTATGTAGTTCTTTATTAATAAATGATTTACTAACATCAGTAAGTAATTTTATATATTCAGTATCATTTAAAAATGTTACAATTTCTTTTGGTAAACGGTATAAAAATTTATAATCATAATCATCATATTGACAATTATTCAATGTATATGAACATTTAAGTTTTCCTTTTAACATTTCTCCTTTAATTATAATTATATCATCCTTTTTCAATAATTTTGGTATTGTAGGAAAAATAGCAACTTGCCAACATGATTTCTTTTCTGAGGTATCTATTGTTATTTCTTCATCAAGATGTAATTTAAACCATGTTATTAAACCATCTATAGTACCATTGCATTTACATGTTTTATTTATTATGTTTTTTATGCCATCAATATTAAATTGTTGTAAATCTGATAAATCATTAAAATTAATAGTAAAAAAAGCAGTAGGTTCTACTATGTAAGTAACATCCACATTTTTTAAATTTTCTGTATCATAGTATTCCTCATCTAATAATACAGATATATTATCAAAGTTTAAAGGACAAAAATGTTTTATTTTATCAAAAATCACAGCTGATTTGTTTCTTATATATTCACATTCAACAGCAGCTACATAAAGTGTAGCTCCCATTGGTATCACTATACCATTTTTATCTAAAACATTTAAATGTACACTTATCATGGATGGTATCACATGTTCTCCAAATAAACCAGCATCAAAAGTTTCTGTAACTACTAATTTTACTCTAAAAAAAGAAAAATATTTTGAATAAAATTAAAATTTTTTATACATAAAATAAATTTGATTTTGTTTATTATATTAATTAATCATTTATTATTATAAAACTAACCTTTCTCTAATATCTGTAGGAATTACAAGATCTGAAGAAAGTTTAGGTAATAATATTATGTTCTTAGCATCATTAGTTTCAAATACTTTCTTTGCAATTTTTAACATTACTGGTGAACATTCACAAGCATAAATTTCTTTGGCACCTGCATTTTGTGCATATAAACTTAATAATCCTGTACCAGTTCCCACATCTAATACAGTATCATATCCTTGAGCAATTCTTTTACGAATTACACATTCAAATGCAGCATTTCTATGTTTATCATTCAACATTGGAAAATGCCATCTATCTACAGCCATGCTAAATGCATTTTGCAAGTTCCTTTCAGCAGGTAAAAAATTAGGATTGGCTTGCAGAGCTCTCTTTAAGAATTTTATTGCCTCTATTGGATCATTATTCCTTTAACAATATATTTTTTCCTCATTATAAGGAATTTTAGTGGTCATGATATCTGTCATATCAAAAAATCAATTTTAAATTGACTGATAATAAATTTACATAAGCAATGAGTTTAATTACCTTAAAAGATGAGCTGCAAAATTATTTAACATACGAGAATTATTTGGATAAATATCTAATGAACGCTTGTAACATAAAAAAACATCTGCAAATCTATTTTCTCCTGCTAATTGAATTCCCCATTGACCTAAAAAATAATATCTTTAATTTAAAAAAAAACAATTATAGATATAATAGCAACATACAAAGAACATCAACAAATGCTTCTTCAATTTCTGATCTTTTTCTAGGACATAATTCTGCTACAACAGTATAATACGCATATGCTTTTCCTACATTCCCAGTTCTATCATGATCATAAGCTTTTTGTAATGATTTTTCAACTATATTATTTAATTCTTTCTGCATTTTTGATGATATTTAATATTTTTCTTGATTTATATTTATCATAAAGAAACATACCCTTTTTTACTATTTGAAATAAAATAAAAGTATTTATTAATTACAATTATACATAAATTTAATTAATTATACATAATCTAATTATTTTATAAATAATTTAGAAAATTGTTTAATTGTTAAAATATTGGTATACTATCTACCAATAATAGATGGAATTAATCTTCAATTGACAAAATGGAAAAATTTTAATTTTTCAATTCTTAAAATAATTTCTAACTTTTGTAAATTAATATGAAAATACAGATTCGATGAAATAATGTGACAAATTCCTTGCAATATTTTATATTACTTAAAATTAAATTTATATTATGTTTTAGAATTACTTATAGCATAGACGAAATATAAAGTAGATCTATCATCCCATATATTTTTATCTTGCATTCTAATGGCACAGACAAGATACAAGATAGACTTGCATTTAATGAAATTTTCCTAAATATTCTGATCGCACAAAAAATCAAAATATTTCATCATAATCATAAACAAAAAATATACAGAATATATATGATACATATTGCTTGTCATAGAAATATAAAAGTCACCTGATCATTTTGTTATTTTTATAATTTTCATATATATATATATATTTGTAGAATATTTTCAAAGGATTCTAGGGAAGATTCTAGAGAAAAGTTAAATAAATATAAAAATTAATATACAAAAATATTGATTTATTTATTAATTAATAAACAATTTAAATTCGTATTAGATGAAGTATGAGCTGGGAATAGAATATGACGGCCATAGATAAGCAAAATTTAATAATTGAAATTAAAATTAAAGTTACTTCAATATGTTATAATTTATTTAAAACATCAAATTTTATCATTCTACAAATCATTTGTTCAAAACATCAAATAACTGTAATGCTAAACGATTGACGTTATATAAACAATGGATCAATAAAAAAATGGATAATAGCTATAAATAAGTATTATTCAAACATTCAAATATTTTAAGTAATTACTTAAAATAATTTTAACTATTTGAAATTTTTAACTAATTATTTTTTCAACAAATTAACTCTGGTGACAGTCCGTCCAATACTGGTGACGGTTTCTATCTCATTTTGTATTTTTATGTATTAAATAAGATATATCGTCTTTTTTCAATATTGCTAGTTTTTATTTAGAATATATAATAGTATATATAAAAGTTTCATAAGATATTATGTCTATACTGTATCTTATCTATGTTATAATAGATAGAAAATTTTGTAAAACAAGCATAGATTAGAAAAGCATAAATAATAAAAGAAAAACAGAGATAGAGTAAAAATTAAGAAATCAGTGCCATTTTTAAAATGCCATAAATTAACTCAAATATAAATAAAAAAACAATAAAAATTGAATAAGAAAATTGTTAATATCATTTCTCTGTCAAAGATATCTCTTCAAAAGCAGGAGTAGAATAATAAGAAAATTTTTCTATTCTTTTTCATTTGTTTTCCTTGTCTATAAGTTAAATTTTATTTAAATCAAGAAATAAATATTTATAATATAATTATATATAACATTATAATTATAATATTTATAAATGAATATGTACATACAGTAATAAATAAATAAATAAATAAATAATAAATAATATACAATATAATTATAACAATAATAAATATTAATTTAGAATAAATATTATAATAATAAGTAAAAAATTATTATAAATCTTTATATTATAAAAATTTAATTAAAGTATTATAATTCTGATCTATTCACGAAGCGAACTCGTTAGTAAATGACGACTTTCTCGTAACTCTCCTCGTGTTTATATAAAATCATATTATGAAAGGTGAATGTTAAACGTTTATACTAAAACTAATTTTTCGAATATATGGATATATTATTATAAATATAATAACTCATCGATTTTTATATTTTTATTGTTAATAATTGTAACGATCTATTACAATTAAAAATTAATATATTAAAGTATAAAAATATATTTACATTTATATGATATTATTTTTCTATTTTTCTATTTTTTATATTTTTTTATCAATTTATTTATTATTTAACTTTTTAAAATTAATTAATTTATTTATCTTTTCATTTATTTTTTTATATTTTTTTTTATTTGTTTAATAGTCATTCACTTATTTTTTGATTTATATAATAATTTATTCATTTTTTCCCCTTTATTTATTTTGTTTATTTTTTCTAATTATTTATTTCTTATTTATTATTATTTATTATTGTTTCATATACTTTATTCACTTATTTATTATTTTATTTATTGATTTATATATTACATATTTATCTATTTATTTATCTAATTATTAATTTATTTATTTATTATATAAAATTATTTAATTCGTTTATTAAATATCTCACTGACATTATATAAAGAAAAAGATAAGAATTGATTATTAACGCCATCTTTTAATGTTGCAGATAAAACACATATAAACAAGGAAAAAGAATATTTAAAGAAAGACAGAGATATATTAAAAATATTGTAATCAGCGCCATCTTCAGAGTGCCGCAAATGAAACTCGTAAAGAAAGGACAGAAAATAGTGGAAGAAGGATAGATATAATAAGAATTAGCAACTATCGCCATCTCTTATATGTTAAAGATACTTCGTTGGAATTATTCTTCCAAAAATTCTCAAAAGATGGCGCTTACTGTTAATTCTTATTTGTTCTCTACCTTATCCTACTCTTGAGGAAATACTTTTAGGAATCATCTAAAGATGGCGCTGATAGTCCATTCTTATATCTTTATCCTTCTCTTACTATTGCTCTTTGTCTAAATTTGAGTTTCATTTGCGGCACTCTGAAGATGGCGCTGATTTCAATATTTTTACTCTCTCTCTGTCCTTTTCTCATTATTCGTTCTCCTTGTTTATACTTGCTCTAGGCGCGATTATGGACAAGATATAGAATGTTAATTAAATATTTATTATTTCTCTTTTAAAATTATAATATATCTCAACTTTTATTGTAAAAAGTATAAATTTTTCATTTCGATTTTACTTTTATATATTTCTACAATATACAAATATAAATATATTTTTCTACAAATAATTTTTATAATTCTAGAAGAAATATTTGTCCCGTGATAGCATATAAATAAATATTTACATCTTATTATATTTTAATTCTTTAATTTATATATAAATGATTTTTAAATATTTAAACAATCATATATTGTAAATATTTTACAATATAAAAACATTAAATTCAAAAAATTTGAAAGAATATAGAATAAAGAATAAGAATAAAGAAGAATATTTTATTTTTAGAAATATAACCCAAAGCATGTTAATTTTCATCACGGGATGAATCTACGAATTAATATTTAATTAATAATATTTATATCTATTAATATTGCATTGAAATTAATAAAATTCGCATCAGTTCTAAAGTAAATTATAAGTAAAAACATTATTGGATTCGGAATCGGATGAAAATTGTTCTTATCATAAATGAAAATTTAATTTCTATTTAATTTAATATTTAATTTAATAGATAAATTTCAAAAGATAATCTATCAAAATTCCTATCAATGATTCAAGATCGGGCTACCATTTTTGGATCTGTCGTTTCTAATTTTTCATATACATACTACTCGAAAGACGAGTCCCGGTTTCATTTCAGAGTGGTCGAACCGGTTGCTCCAGGGTATGTCTTCAGCTTAGGACTGCCCATCATGGAAATTCCTATGATGTTGCATTCAGACGAATGTTCAAAAGGATCAAAAGCTTTAATATATGTGTCTTTATAGGCGGAGCCAAATGGTGAAATCGTAACTCGCGTATGTCGATTCAAAATATATAATCAGATTTAAAATATATCGATATAAATCAGTAAGAACAGTCTTGTTCCGGGTTTTAGATCAATTCATAAATGTACTAGAAAGATATTAATTCGTATCTATAGATCTTTCTTTTTCCTTTGGTTGAAACATATTTTTTTTAAAACATCATTAAAAAAAATTAATTTAATAAAATAATTTAATAGAACCGATTCTCGAAAGGGTGAAAATTTCATTCGAGCAACCATCATGGCTAATGATTCATAAAATCATTACAACATCTAAAAAAAAATTCTCTTATCTTCAAAATAAATTTAATATTTTTAAAATTAGAATTTCTTACATATAGAATATTTTAACACATTCAATGCGGGTAAACGTACGCATCATATAAATTTCTTACGCTATAACGGTTGATACGTGTAATCGCATCACTTACTTGAAGAAATGTAAAAGATGGAAAAAAATATTAAAACACATATCTGATTTTCTTTCTACGTATACGCAATGTAATATCATTTTAATATATTTAACATTAGAAATTATCATCAGTTTGCACTCATTAAAAATCCATATTCACCATTGAAGATCCATTTCGATTTTTAATGTCGCATTAAATGTATTTATAAATATTCATCAAACGTTTAATAAACAATCCAACAGGAAACGTTACTTTCGAAATATCTATTTATGTATTTTTCTTTTTTTTGTCTTTCTTTTTTCCCTCGATACTTATTCATTCGGTAGCGGTAGAAATTCCGTTTGGAATGCACAATTGTAGTGAGAAGGCTAAAAAACAAGAGAAATCAAAGGGATGTATTCACGCAAAGGATTATCGGCGACTCGTTCGTTGCTTTGTCTCGGGAATAAAATGCATTTAGCTGCTTCGTTTTCAGCTTAGTACCTTTCAAGGTACAGGAATAAGGTAAGGTAAAATGGTTGAATGATGTCGGTCCCGGGTTATGGAATATGGCGCAGGTTTCCCCAACATAAAACATTTTTTCTTTGAACCAAAGTTTAGACAAACCCGGTCGTAAAATTTTCGAAATTTACCTGCACAAGCCAGAATAAGAAAATGTCGAGGGACTGAAAGTACGGATCCAGGCAACAACGGTTGCAAATTACCATGCAATAAAATTAATATTATTTAAATGCAGCTGAAACTGTCCCTGTACTTACATCCTTGGACATTTTTCGACAAATGTACGAAACATGGCTTGTTAAGCCTGAAATAAGCAGTTTTAATCTTTTACCTTAACTACGTAGCTTTTACTAATTTCCATTGTCAAATATTTTTCCTTTCTTTTCCTTTTTTCTTTCTTTCCTTTTTCTCTTTTTTATTTTTTCCTACCTTATTTTTTGATAAAAGAAATATTCATTTTCGCTTAAAAGAAATATTCATCGCTGAAATCTCTCTAAATTTGCGAAAACAGATTTGTAAAATGATTTATTACAATATTTTTCTACTTTCTTTTTTATATTTGTATTACATATTTTATCCATTTTGATTTCTTATTTTGATCATAAATGACAATATAATTCACATTCTTTTATATTATATCATATTATTCAAT